CCTGAATTCAGGCAATTACCTGAGCCGAAATGCTTTGGAGGTGAGAAAACAGTCTCATGCATGTCTGCCCTCATGGAACTGCTTATGTCTGCTCTTGCAGCCAAGAGAGTGGACTGGATAGACCACTGGCATGGCTCAGTGGGATCCTTTTTTTGGCCTCTTATCAAGAGTTTTACAGTGCCCAAAGTAGACTGAATCTCACATGACCTGACCCTGAATAGCAGAGGGAACTGTAACTAGCATTACTGGTCTTTGATTAGGTTAAAATTACTCAACACCTAAACCAGAGAGATTCTACAATGTGATCAGGTTTTGATTTTTCAATTGTTCTATTTTAGTTTCACATTCAGTGGAACCATTCCCCTCACTAATTGTCACCTTTATTTTCCTAAAGCCAAAATCAGTGAAAATGGAAGATACTTTTATATCTCACTCTGACTCTGAAAGAGATAGGCAATCCAGAACTCTTTGGAGGACAGTAGATATCACTTGCTTGAGATGAGAGCAGCAGCAGTTTTTCATGTCTGAATCAGAGGGATTTAGATTCTCAGCATCTGAGACTAAAATACAGTAGCTTAATTCTGGTAGTTGGTTTGGTGATCTTGCTGATTTTTTCTTTTTTGTTGTTGTTGTTCCCTAGATACTGGTATCTAGGCAGATTCACCACCTAATACTGCTGCCTTTTTTAGTGCTATCTAAATAGTGTTATTAAGAGACAGAAGAGTAATTTTGCGCCGAGTTGCAGCAGTGTGATCTGTTGGCAGTTCTCTGCCAGCAGCAGAGGAATAGGAGAACCTGGCATGGCACCAATCCTCAGGGCTCCACAGACGTGGTCTGGGTTTGTAACAGAGAAATGGCTCAAAACATGGTTTCCATCACTTCCAGAGGTGACTTGAGGCATGGGACAAATGGTCCTTTGCCAACTTAATATTCAACAACAGTTTATTCTTATTTTATTGTGTGCGTTAAATCCTGTCAGCTTGCTCCATTTGCAATTCAAGAGTGACTTCCTGATGATGTCTGAGCTGCTGGACAACATGGTCCAAATGGATGGAAATACTCCTGAGGATTTGCCAAAAAGGGTAAGACACCCCACTTCTGCCTATGCCATCTCCTTTACTTCAACATTATCTACAGCTCCAAAGACAATGCCCAGACCTTACCATGCTGTGACCACATTGTTCTGAAGAGTGAGAAGTTGGTTTTATCAATATGAGTTTGCTTATGTGTCTCAGCTGGGTCTTTTAAATTTCATTTGGAAAACATGGTTCATTCTGAGCTCCTGCTAAAATTATGACTCATATTTTACATTTATCTATGCTTTATCTTCAGGAAAATAATTATCCTCAAGGAATCCTAATCAAAGTCTCTCTATAAGGAGTACCAAAGTGAAGATTTTTTTAGTTTTCTCTGGAGTGTGTGTGCTTAGGGGACATTATTTTCATGGATTTTTTTTTACTGTTCATAACATTGTTTTTAATATGAAGACTTTTCTATCTTAATTGTTTTGCCTCCAGTAGAGTAAATATAAACTGCATACAGATGACCCAGAAATTCTTGTGAGATGAAAAGAAATCGGGAATTAAAACACAAGTCTAGGCCTTACCTGCAACACTGTTTAAGGAAGAAAACCTGCTGTGCTCTTTGTCCTTGTTACCCAAGCTTGCAGTAATGCTGGGGATGAGAGAACTACCCAGTGTAGTTCTGGGTGCTGAAGCAGGAGCCACAAATTTCATTAAAGTTTGCATTACTTTTGAAAGGCACGTTAGACACTAGACTGCACTGTTGCAAAAGATTTTCTAGGAACTCTAATGGTCTTATACATCCAAATTGAAATTAACTCCAACCTCTTTCTATTTAACTCAGTCTTGCCTTTCACTTCCTCTAATAATTTTCAAATGTCCATCAGTAGGAAAAAGGTAGAGATAGTAGAAAAATATTCCAGTCATCAAGAAACACGTGACTACTTTCTAATTCGTGCCACTTTTATGTAAGATTTGTAACATGAATTGACACTTTCATGTTTGTAACTTTGTCTTTTCTTTGGAAGGGAACTTCATGAAAACCAGTACAAATGCTGCCTCTTGTTCTAAACATATAGCAAGTTTCCTATGTATTTGGCCTGTCACGTTTGGATTCATATAGAAAAAAATCATAGAATCCTTTAGGTTGGAAGAGACCTTTAAGATCACCAAGTCCAACCATTAAGCCAACACTACTAAGTCCTCTGCTAAAACAGAATCAGAATCTGTCAGGGTTGGAAGGGACCCAAGGATCACCCAGTTCCAACCCCTCTGCCATGAGCAGGGACACCTCCCACTAGATCAGGCTGCCCAGAGCCTCATCCAGCCTGGCCTTAAAGACACACAGGGATGGGGCCTCAACCACCTATGCTCACTTCCTACAAAGTATCAGAAAAGCAGAATTGTTATGCTTCAAGTGTTCAGTTTCAGAGATACTAGTAACATTCTTGATTACTGTGACCTAAGAAGAATTTGAAGAGTTTTGAGTACTCTTGAGTATGAACGACCTTAAGACTGGTGCTGTGCTTCAATTTGCCCAGGTGAGCTTTCCTTCTCTGCACTTAAAATCACTTTAACCTTGGATCTAGCCTTATGTGACTTGAGATTTGTGCACATCCAAATCAAGAGAGCAAAAATGAGACAAAGGTCTAATCTACATGCAAAATTAGAGATGTCTAGATACAGGGTGCTAGGTGTATTATTTTCTTTCCACATTTTTAATTTCTGCTTTACCCTCAACTTTTTCTGGTAAGGTGAAAATTTCATATATGGAGGTTTTACTGAAGATGGGTATCCTAGAACCACTCAACTGAGGTCTGACACACAAATTTTATAAAGATTGTGAAGTAGTAAGTTACATTCTGTTCATTGCAAAGTAGTTTAAAATATCCTTTTTGGGAAAAGGAGAAACCTGCAGAAAACAAGTCTTTGGCCTTGTGCTCAGATGAAGGAGAAACATGGCATGCTGGGGTAGGTAGCCTCAACTCTTTATTCGAGAGGGGGCTGGTTGCAGGATGTGGAATACAGATGAGTTCCTGATTTATGTGATAATATTCATAGTGAAAAGAATATGTAGCAATAATCAGCTTTTGCATCAAGTGGAGCTGAGGCAGTGAATAACTATATAAGTGATTTATTGTGAATATATTCCAAGGCTACAAGTATACCTCCTACTTAGTGGATGACAAGACAATAGAAGATTATACAAACCACAACACCAATAATGAAAAGAAGTAATGTTTTTCTTGCCTCGGCAGACTTGGAAAGTTCTGTGCTGCTGCCTTCTCAGACTTTCCTTTGGCGTCACTTTGGGGACAGAGATTAGGCGAGTTACTGTTCAAGGGTGGGTTCAAAAAATAACTACTAACTGTTGGCCTGTATGGAGATGAAGGGGTTGTGATTGTACACATGTTGTGTCTAAAGGTGTCAGGACCTTTTTGCAAGGTCTGCTGTGATTTCTAGGCTATAATTTGTAATGAAAATTTTGTCAGAATAGTTACCGACACTCTGCAAGTATGGTGTGTTCAGGAAGCAGGAGAGATACCAACAGATCAACTTAAATATATGCTGAGAACAAGAGACTGTCAGTGACGATGCATCAATTCAATTCTAGCTCTAGGTTTTACTCTAAGCTTGTAGAAGAGAAGTTGAGCATAAGGAAAAGAAGCGTCATCCATTTCGAATATGCTATATCCTATCTCTGAAGCTGACAAAGTTATCTGAACTCAGAGACTCATCTCAGCAAAGGACATGTTCTATTCTACAATTCTTGTTAACTCTCCTCATACTAAGGAAAAGATACTTTGCCTTCTCTGTCCTCCTTATACCCAAACCACCTCTTCCAAGAAAAAACCCAACCCAAACCAGTGAACCACAGTTTCACGATTCCACATTCTCATATTCAGAAAGGAAAAACAAAAGAAAATTATTCTAGATGTTATTACACTAGTAAAAAAGTGTGGGAGGAGGAGCTCAATGTTACTATCACTTTTTAATTTCTACCAAAGGAAGCATAAGCTTTGCAAAAATATTGGTTTTCCCCTTGTATAATATCTGAATGTGGTTCTGTGCTTGGGTAATTTATAGCAGTTCTTTATTTGAAAAACTTCCAAAACTTGCTCAGTTATGGATAGAGTAAAATCCCCTTATGTATTATCTAAAAAAAGAGTATTTTCAAGCAGATGGAGAATTTCTTGTTGTACTTTTAACATAAATGAAAATGCATAGTAAAATCCCAGTGGTATATTCTAGATCTCATTAGATCTAATTTTTATTAAAGGTCGCAGAAAGAACAACTGAACTTTGAGATGGCTTCTATACCTGTACTGATTTGTGCATGTCATGCATAACTACCTTAATCTTCCCTGTTAACAAGCAGCTGAAAGAAACCCTTCAGAGAGCAAGCCTGCCCTCAGTTCTCCTTGGAGACAAATGTATGGGGATAAGGCCAAATGGCATGCACTCATGGCCACCTTTAAAAGGATGGAAAAACATGGTTACCTTTGGAGATCATCCAGTTTATTTTCTAAAGTGAGCCTGTATAATAATGAAAGTTTAAAGCAAGCAGGCTTCACTGGTAAATCCTGTTCTATCCCTAGAATGGCTAACACATACTGATCTGGATGATAGCTCCTAGATTTTCAGCAACACAAGGTCTATCTTTACTAATTTTACTTCAGAGATCTTAAAGCATATATGAACAAATGAACTAAGGATCTCTCTTCTCCATGAGATGGTTTAGACTTATGCATAGTTTATACAATTTTTAAAGTAAACAAGCTACTCAACTTCTAAATGAAGACAGTTTCTAGTACCAGTAAAGCCACAAAGAGTTAAGAACCCACAGTTAAGTAGTATATGTAAAGGCAAGATTCAGCACAGACTTGGCTGTCAGGAAAGACCACCTCATTACGGGTGATGATCTATGAAAAGTCTTGGAACACCACCTCCAGGAGATGAGTCCTGTTAAGTATTAGGACAAGCTGATTGAGAGGTACCAAATTTTCTTTATTTAAATGCACCTAGTGTAACAACATTTCCCCACTCAGCCTATTGGAACGCTACAGGAAGGAAAACACAAAAATGTATATTTCTGCTTATCATCATCCGTTTTTCAATTTAGTATCAAGTTTTCCAAAAATTCTTACTTTGATTTCTTCACATAGAGCCAGTAGACAACACCTGCAACCAGAGCAGCCAGCAGAAGACCGACTACAATTCCCACTATTAGCTTTGCCTGGTCATTAACCTTTTCGCTATTGTCATCTGAAGCAAAGAAGACAAGTTAATGAGGTGACCTATAATAAAGTAAAGCTTTACACCATTATTAAAGAATTATCATCAGAAACAAGAAAAGGAGTCCAAAAGTAAAAATTCAAAATGTATACATTGTTCTTAAAAACACATTTAAAGCTTCAAGAAATCTGGTGCCATGACTCAGAATTTGACTATTTCAAATCATGTCCAATTTTGAGGGACTGTGGAAATTGTTCAGTGACACTATATATGCCTTGAACTGAGACAATCAACAGAAAGGGTTATGGAGACAGGAAACCATACATACCACTCCTATCCTCTGGCTCATCATATTCTGGAATACTTACTGAAATGAAAAATATTTAAATTATGTTATACATGAACATTACCTTTAATTGCCTATTTACAGTAATAACAGAAACACTGAAACTTAGTGCAGTGCTTACCACACAACCTGATAACTAATTTTATCTTTAAGTGGAAGTCCTTCTAACTGTAATATAACCAACTGAAGAATCTTATTCAAAACCTGTAATATTAATCTCAGAAATATTTCTGAGCATTTCTGTGCTACCCTTCCACAAACTGTAGCTTCTCACCACCTTTCATCGCTGAAAAGTAATATTTGATTGAAGCCCAGTATGGCTAATTTCTGTTCTGAGTTAAGTCATACCAGTAATAATAAACTGCAATCTGGGGACTAGATGATGTTAATTTAGTAATAAAGCTTTGTTTCATAAATAAGGTATTATTGTGCAATATTTTTGTACTATCATGTCGTAATACCATTTTGTAATATTGTTTTTGTAAATAATGTATTGCACACTTGAGATAGCTAGCCAAGAAAGTCATGAAGACTATGCGACTTCGTACAGAAAGCTATCAATGTACTACTGATCCAGAGTGGATTTACAATTGCTTAAGACAAAAAGGTTAAATATCTTAATATCAACATTACTATGCAGATCTACTTTTCATAGGAGCGTGGGTACTTTATGTGAAACTATGACATTAAGGAAATGGTCTTGACACTCACTAGCAGAGACGTTCAGGGAGGTCACAGTCCTTTCTAGCTGATTTTCTGCAATGCAAGTTAGAGTCACATTTTCCTCAGGAGCAATTACAATTTTACTGGAAAATTTTCCATTAACATACTTAGTCTCCTCTGTCTGAAAAAGTTAAAAAAAAAAAAAAAAAAAGATTGATATACTTGAAAAATGCAAAGAACAATACATGTGTTACTTGTATTACAAACTAAAAATGCCCACAGGGAAATAACTTTGAATTAATATATCAGTTTTGCAAACAGTAACAATAGAAATAATACATAATTTTATTAAGTGGTAATTTGAGTATTTTCAAGAAAACACTTTGGCTATGATATCCAGTTATAAAGAGGCGTTTTTGAGAAAGTTAACTACCATCTGTATTTGCTTTAGTTTATTTTGACTATTTAAAAAATCTCACAAGCCAAACTCCTAAGGTCTTATTTCTTTCCATCTTCCTGTTTTTCATTTATGTCTTTGTAAGAAAAACAATCACTGTAAGTTTTCCACTTTCTAGCTTTCCAAGCTGTTTCCACACTAAGCATTATTTTGCCAAGTGTACCATATACATGTATATAGCAGTATCTACAGTATCTGTAACAGTGAAGTTGTTCCTTAAATTTGCTGTACATCATTCTTAGATTAATACAATGTCCAGAGAAAATGATTTTCAAACATTTATGTAGCTTAAAGACTATTCCTGTCCACAGTTTCAAGCAAATGGGACAAATTCTGACAATGATACATAATTTCTGTAGGATTTAAGGAAAACCTAATGGAGTGATGAAATCTAGAGGAGCACTGTGCACTGTACTTCTGCTCTCTGACTGCTTGTATCGATGTCTGATCTACCTTGCTCAGGCACAATGTAGCAATGCTTTGCATGTGATTTGGTAATCAATATAAAAATACTTCTGTTCGCTTATTTTCCAGGAATATTTTTTTTTATGCTACATATGGGTACTCCTTATTTTCTCCCACAGGATGACTGCATTATGCTTCTATTTCCAGTGAGAAGCAACAGGCATAACCTTAAAAAAAAAAAACAAAACTACAAAGATCAGGATAAAGGCTGCAAAGCCCATAAGAAACTACACTGACTGTATTTTCTGACTTGTACTTGCCACATTTCATTATGTTTCACCCAGTTAATGCCTACATCAAGTACCCATTTGCTTTCTAATGCAAGTTCTATAGTTCCATCATTATTTGTAAATTCTTTATGCAATGGGAAAATCACCACATTACCCAGATAAAACTACTTAGTATCTTCACTTAAAAGTGCATAATTCATTTGCAACCTTTTCTTTTTCCTTCCAGCTTTGGCGCATAGCCAGCGGATCTTCTGTGCCTTTACCTGCTCTATTCAAAAGACCTTTATGATCAAAAATCATCCATGTGAGTACCATGTAGCTACAGCTACCACTTCATCTTCTCTTACATAAATGAAATAGACAATATCTTCAGTCTCACTACCTAGAAAATGTTCCTTGATTTCAAATCACACCTCCTATGCACTATCTTTTGGTGAATATGTAAGAAGAAAGATACTTGCTTTATTTATGATGCTTCCAGTACCAGTAACTGTCCATTGCACTGCTGGTTTGGGGAAACCTTCCACATGACAGACAATTGTTTTAGACATTTTATTTGTGTTGGTTTTCTTTGTCATTTTGATTTGAGGTTTTCCTACAAGAAAAATATTACAGTTAACCATTTTGTTTGAAAAGGTCGATTAATAATCACACCTATCTGCTCACTTACCTTCCACAATAAGTTTAAGTGTCTTTCTTTTCTTTAGCCCTTCAACCTCCTGTAGAGTGGTTTCGCAGATGTAGTTTCCAGCATCTTGATACTGAAGACTTGAAAATGATGGACTTGTTTGCATTCTGGTGTTGTCCTGGTAAGGAAGGAGTTAACCTCTGTGAATTCTTACTCAGTATACATTAACCTCTAAATTACAAATGTGACTACTATCAACAGATTTCTTTCCATGCTTTGGTGCAAAGTGTTCCCCTGTTTATAGCTACATTTGAATATCTGACAGCATGAAAAATGGAAACTACTGGAGATTACAAAAGCCATCTCCCTTCTTCTTGAATAACTTCTATTTCAAATCAAGGACACTGATGAGATCAATTATTAGTTCTGAGCTTTTCTAATAGGCTGGTCAAAGCTGCTGTGATACAAACTGTCCGAGGTACAGACAACTGTCTGCCAGGCAAGGCTTATGAGATCAACGTATGCTACTAAACAACCATCAGTATCATTAGTTTTCGGTAGTACAGGTTTAATTGAAACCTACCATCTATGATAGCTACCTTTTTCACCAGACACTGAATGCCAGTTGCTGATATCTGATCTCTCAGCTTGCTTTGTCCTTTTGTTATGCTTAGTGGAACCAAGACCAAACTTGCCTCTGAGGAAACAATGAATCCAAATTCCTCCAAATGGACAGACTTTCCTTCTCAGAGGGACCCCATTCTCAAAGAGTCTTGTATAAACCACTTCAGAAAAAGTTATATTTGTGTTACAGTGGGCATTACTTCTCTCCAGTTGAAAACTGAGCCAATAATTACATTAACTGATTTTCAGTCATCAGCTAGAGTCAGTAGCTCTCATCTTAGACATATGAATAAGACCCATTTTAACAATATTCTTTAAGAAGCTAAATGAATTCCTTCCTTCCTTCCAAAACACTGAAGCAGAAGCAGTAATATGAAGAGGTAAACACTCAGATTAAGTGTGAAGTAGACAAATTACTGACCTTTATCCAAAACACAGTTGCATTTCTACTAGAAGAAATTGTGCATGACACAGGCAGGGCCTCTCCAATCTGTTTTGTGACTTCTCCGCTAGGAGTGAGCTGCAAATCCAAATCTGGAATAGAAAGAACATTTTTCAAAAGTTAATCTTGGAAAGCCTGGCCCATTTCAAAGGCTTACCGAGGAAAGAAAATGTGACTAATTGCACTCATTAAATTCAAGATTTTGCTTCTTCAATAAAATCTAAGCCAATTTTACAAGGGAGAAAAGAGAATTATTCTCAAATAGGCATTGCAAAACATGCACATTTTTTTTGTAATTATATATGAAAAAGAAAAGCAAAAATTAACTAATCACTAGACAAATGGCTACTTTTTTTCACCTTGTACTGCTGAAAGAATGACAGAGGAGGTACAAGAAGCTGAAGGAGTACCTCGTATAACACTAGGTGCATCTTGAAAGGGGAAGCACAGGATGCTGTGAGATTAGCTTGCTATGGGCAAGGTAGAAATGTATCTTCAGGGGAGGACTTGCACAGGTGAGGACAGAGTAACAGTAGAGTGGAGAAGAGGCTAGGAGGACAAGGCGTAATTTTATCTAATCTGCTAGAACAAGTTAATTTTTAGCCTCAGTATCTGAGAGGATGAAGATGGTTAATACAGGGCATGTGAGACACGATGCTGAGTTGAAGGGGTGAGGAGTCTGAATTACAGGGTTGTGTGGCCACACATGAGGCCTTTTGATTTATTTGGTTTTATATGTAACTTTAAAAAAAAATTTTTGTATAACTCAAGAGTCCAAGCTTTGCCTTACCTGTTTTGGCTCCAGGAAACAAGCAGTCAGAGACAACTGCATTTGACACAAGACAGAGTGAAAGCCAGTAACAGAAAAATCATGAAACACTACTCTGGATTTTTCTTAGTATATGGATTTGGCGGGCTAGTGATTTCTTAAAAAAAAAAAAAAAAAAAACAAAATAAAAACCAAACTACCACATTTTCCCAAGCTTAACCTCTATTTTGTTTCCCCTCACACAGTACCCTGCTTGTAAGCCAAGCTGCCTGGTCGAACGATGATCACAGATGTATGCACGCACACACACACGCTCTCCAGCGTAAAGCATACAGGATTTCATCACCAATATAGCACTTGCTGGAAACAGACTGCAAAAAATCCTTTTGGCTTTTATGCAGAGTCTAAAAAAAGCTTGAGGCAAAATCACAGTTAGTAAAGGAAAGGGAAACCAGTGAGTTTTCCTTAACAGTGAATTAGCTGCTGGCTTCATTCAGTGGTTACCCTGGGAACCCCACTGTAATTAAAGGCAGAACTTCAGGGAACAACTGGTGTCCATCCTGTATTGTTAGTCTGCACTACTATCTGTGTTACAAGTCTAATGCCTAGTCTGAGAGGTCACAAGAACTGTACTTTCATCTTTGCATGAGTAAAGCAAAGATCTTACTGAAGAGATATAAAATAGCATTTTGTTTTTATATTCCTATGAGGATTTCTCCCTCTGCCTCCCCAAACTAGTAAATGCAACCAAACCAAAGAGATTCTCCAGATTTAACCATAACTTTCACAAGGAGGAAAAAAAAAAAATAATAAAACAAACCCAAACCAACCAACCAACAAAACAAAAAAACAGGAGACTCGGCCAGCAAGCATTTGTATATAGATTTAGGTTGTGTATGGGATGTGTTTCTTCTTGTTCTGTTACTCTAGAGCACATACTACCGAGGCAGAGGAGTAGTTGAAGAAAAAGTTAAGATACTTTTTCTTTCCCCCCTCAGGGTGACTTTCCTCCAACATCTACTTAAATCTTTTGTTCTTTGAAGCAAGATAGTACATCAAAACCCAGGAGATCACCAAGGACTCTACAGGAGGGATTCCTCTCACATACGCCACAGGAAGCAGAAACTCAATTTTTTGCCTTCATCTCAGGCAAGACTGACACTGAGCCCAGAGCAATCCTTCAGCCCAGCTTCCCTCCAGGGTAGAATGACTGCTGCCCTCCAATGCCCCCTCTTCCATTTTTGTGGTATAACTGAGACTAAATCCCTCTCACACAGGGGTTTTGGTTTCTATAGAAGTTCAGGAAAATGTACAGTGCATGAGATGAATGGCATAGCTCAGAACAGTATTTGTAAGGTAAATTATGAGGCATGTACAGAATTAAGCTACTGTTTAATATAGAATCCCCTCTAGGAACTCTACATAGAGAAATTTGATTTGGATTAATATTCTGCCAGTTTATCTGTAGGGTCCACAAAGAAATGCAATGCAGATATTTTTACCTCTCAACTTACATGCTCCTTTGGTAAATAATCTCTTTCTGGTACAGACGTATAAGAAGAAAATATTTCTCATATACAGAAGACTGTCAAAATTAATTTTCCTTGACACTGAAAGAAAAACTTTGTTGCAAGAGTTTTCCATACATTTCCTGTTTGGCTTTGAAATGTTCTTCATAAACAAACTTCTCATCAGGCACCATTTTCAATATATGCTAGCTCTTAATGTGGTCTCACTTGAAGTCTTGCATTGATTTCAGTGCTGTCTTTGCATACCAAGTAGCACAGGGAAGAGACAAAGAGAGCATTCTGCATGTATTACCACATCATGTGAGAGAGGTATAGAATTAATGTGAGGCAGACTGGAGCAAACATTTCAGTTTTGAAAGTCTATTGCACATATAGGACAGGCTCTCAGCATCTAAAGGAGGCATCTGACAGAATATTGTGCTACAACTGGGAAAAGTATGCAACTGCACTTGCCTGTAGTCTGAACTCCCCAAATATACTAGCAGAGAGCCAGAAACTACTCCTGGTATACCAACAATAGATTTTTTTTCCATGCAACATTCAAAAGGTTAGCTCCCCTGTATTTTCAATACGTCTGTAGCACAAGAAAAGACTAATAAAAATACCTACAGAGAAACACAAATGCTAAATTTCTTAACCCATTAATGTGCTGGAAGGTTTGCAAAACTGTTTCTGTAGAAAACACATTTTAGCAGAAAGGAAAGCATCACCAAGAGGAAATTCCACAGCCCTACTTCACACTGGGTTTCAGGTGCAGAAACAATTACAGCAAGAGAAAAAGAAAAGGAACTGTGGGTTGAAACAGTCACCTGCTTCTTCATACCTGAGGAAAGGTACACCTGTCCTCTGCTGCTAGGTGCTTTCCTTGCCTCACACAGCGTGTGCTTCTACAGCAGTTTAAGTGATTGTAAACAGATTTTGCCCCAGCTCCCTTCCCCCCCCACTTCCTTCCTAGCCTCTGCTAGTTTTGCTCATCCAATCCTGGGCAAACTCAGTCAAGGAACAGAGCTGGCAGAAAATTAAAGACCTAGTGTAAAAAACCCAATCTATAACATAAATCCTGTGCTTTTGCTCCCTCTTTGGAGTGACAAATCATGCCAAACACAAGCATTCAGTTTTGTTGGACTTCAAACTGGGACCTTGCTGCACAGATCCTGCACCTGCTCTGAAGGGCAACAGGTCAGCTTGTCCAGCTTGTCCCTTATGTTCTGGGGCTAAGGAAGAGACTCTCTTCCCTCCCCCAACTTTGCTTTATAATTTCTCTAAACACCACAAGTAACTCTGATGCTGTAACGTAAATTTTCAGCTTTCTGTGAATCGCATAATTTACATTCATCTTGGAAAAAGAGAGCTTGGTATTGAGCCAGAATATTTTGCTACAAATATATTTAAAGGTTATAATGTGCTAATGTATTTTCACATGAGCAAGAAGCTTTTCCTACCTAGACATTGAAAGGAACCAGTGCAATTATAATGCTCAGTAAAATCTGTTTGGGGAAAAGCACTAGAGTTGAAAAGTAACAAATTGCTATAAATAGTTTTGCAGATTTAAGTGATTATTGTATTGATTTTGTTTTTAAAGTGAAACTAAAAAAATCTAAAGTGTCAAGATCGGATGTGAGGAAACAAAAAGACTCAACTCAGAACAAAGGCTTTTTCAGTGTAACAATGTAGACAGGAATATTCATCTATATGTCAAAAGTAAGTGATAAATCAAAATAGGGAGAAAAAGGAGGATTTGAGAGGCAGTAGTAAGTATTATTTGAATGACTAAAACCACAGTGGCATAAAATATCTGAAAATCTAACACCAAAAAGATACAAGTACATTAGAAGTAGAAAGCATCAAAAATTCGTGAGTTATGCTGGAAAAATAATATAAAGTAAGCAACTGAAAGATGAAACAGAGTATTATAAAGCATCTACAAGTTTTATGACTTTTTCACGGGAGTTCTCCTCACAAGAAAACATGCTGCAGAAATGCTTTAGGCCAGCATAAGGCAAGACACCCAAGCAGCTTAAAGACAGGGCATGGTCTGGACACTCAAGAACTACAGAACTACTCCAGGCCACGGTGCCTCACGTAAAGGCTTTATTGCAGGTTGAGATATTTAAGAAAAACAAAATAAAACAAAATGAACCTTAAGTGAAGTAGGAGAGTGCTAGGTTGTACCTATGAGTTCTGAGTAGCTGCACTAGCTGCCAACACTGGAAAGACTTCTGTCAAGAAAATACATGCTTCTCTTGTGTAGTAAAGCTCTTCTGACATGCAGACAAAATAGCAGAGAAAGGCAAACTGGCTTGTTATAAATAACTTGGAGCTGAGGAATCCATTCTTTACAGTAACTATTTGTGGAAGTGCAAGTAGACAAGCAATCCACATGAAGTAAAGTAAAAGGGTCAGTTTTACCACAGCAAACTACCAGCAAGCTACCTTTGAGACTGGGCAGCTACTGGCAGAAGCACACAGAGCTCTCTTCAGATCTTACATTCCCCAACCCTTGGCAAAGAGGAGAGGTGGGTAAGAAAAGATCAGATGACCTTATTAAATGCAAATTATTAATTAAATGGAATACTGTAATTATTCTTGTATTCTGAATGAATTGTACCTCTTCCAAGGGGGAAAAAAAATCAAAACTGAGTATACAAACATGAAGTTTCTTTTTATGTAAAGTATAACTACTGTGGAAGCCTTTAAACTTCATTATCCATCAAGTCTCTCATCATCCCTCTGAACCCATAAACTATTAAAGTTATTTATGCAACTGAGAAGACTACAGATCATCAATTTTTTCCAAGGAAACCTAGTACCATTGTCTCAAGTCACTTTTCACAGCTTGTGATAGCATAGCAAAGTTTGAAAGAGTTCTGGCTCTTGTTTTCTTACATAAAAATGTTAAAAGCAACCATTGAAAAGCAAACGTTGCTTCAATGGTTCAATAAGCTCAATGTCTGCTTTTAAAGTGTTGCTGATAAAGTGAGACTAAATACACTAGTGTCCAGTTAAAGAAACTTTACTGAACTCTGTAGGTCTTATGATTCTAGGAACAGTGAAAAGAGCAAATTGTCCTATGTGAACAGAATCAATTCCTAAGACTCTTCTTTAGACTCCTTACACGTTAACCTCACTGAAATAAGATGAAAGGATATTAATATGAATTTGACTATGAAGAATGATCTCCAGTGATATCACTGTGGGCCAGCTTGTGTTTCAATACATTCTAAGACACAGCTGAAGTGAAATGGTTTGCCATATATATGTTCACATGAGCAAAACGTAAAATACCAGCATTTTCACTGTATGTGACAATGCAATAATATCATATACTATACAAAGGTTACATAAAGTGAATCTGTATCTAAGAAAATAAATTAAGAAAGTTAAGTTTGCAAACAGAAATATACATTAGAAAAAAAATGAAAATTACCTGAAACTACTTCAAACTAACTACACCATTCAGTTCTCCTGTAGGTTAACTGGACTAACCTAAAGCAGAGACCACACCAGAAGGTCCAAGATAGGTCTGTATCATAACTAACAGTGCAAAATGCAGTGACTTACAGTGTACAGTGATGGTGGTTGAGTCCATCATGCTTTTGTCAGTCAGAGAGCACTTATATTCTCCTGTTGCATTTCGTCTCACGTCTGTCATTATGTAAGTATCTGAGCTTCTTATGCCTTCTGTTTCTCCCTGTGGATGTGAAACAAAATATTTATTGTACATGGGCCTCCTAAACCCATTAGTTTTTGTTGAAGATATTTTTATTATAAAATTTACATTATAAAATATGTACAGACACAGCATCATTGAAGTGTAGTTATCTATTAATAATACTAAGATTTATTTCCTGCATGACACCATAGTTTCAAAAAACATCTACAATTAAGAGCTTACTCTTTTAATGGAATGTCTAACTCACTTTAAGAGGACATTAGAACACAAAATTTGAAAGTTTAACAGAACGAAAAAAGGGAGGAAACAAAAGACTGAATCACTTTATGAATATGAATGTTGCAGAAATCACAACAACAAAGCAAATTGTATTTTTAAATCTGTATCTGAAATGATATATTCAGTTTAGGAAAAATGATGAAATGAAGCATACTACATTACACATTTTTCAGCAGCACAAGCCATATTTGCCCTACCCACATCATGGCATGAAGCCTGTAGGGATATACACTACCTTATTTGCAGTTACCCACAGAAACTGGTGTTTTGAATTAGCCAGCTAGTGTTCATTTCTGGCCATCCAGTTCCCCAGTTTCCCCCTGATTACAACTGACTGACTTAGACCAGCTATAAAACAAGCACAGAATGACACCCTAATTTGTATCTCTGAATCCAGAAACAGATCTACGATACCCATGAGTCCTGCAAAGAAATCACCAGCTCCAGCTCTCCTTGAGAGAATTGACTAGTAGCAGGGAGACTGAAAATAAGATAAACTTGGGTGTTTAGCTCACTCACTGTGATAGTACAGCAAGGAGAGGTACCATACATTTTTTCCCTAGCATATAGTGAGTTCCTAAGATGACTCATTGAGTCTAAATGGTTGTTCTGAGGTAAGAGGACTTCAGCTCCCAGTTTCCCTTGCTGCTCTTCATCAATTCAAACACATCAGGAGTCCAAGGTAGATGAGGATTATGTTCAAGGGGTGACAAGCAGTTTTTGAAATACCTGAGAGCATGCCTGCTTTTGGTCTCTATCAGCTCTGCTCACTACTGCTGTAGGAACCAAAAAAATACTACAAAATAGGAGAGAAAAGCAGGACACAAGAGGCAGGACTAGGAAACTTAGAATATAAAGCCACATCTGTCTGTGGATTTCATCAGTACTAAAAAGACTAATGGTACCAAAGCCTTCATTTTTATCAATCTGCATCTTGTGCATTTGACAGATTTGCCCTATATTTTCTCCCATGCTGTTCTTTGTGTTGTTACGCCACCAAAGAATTAATTAATTAAATAAAAGAAATTGCATACAGACTCATCTGTGAAAGTCCAAAAAACAGCTGAATTAATTTCCTACACTTCCACTGTTGTATCTTTGTCTGTTATGACAACAGACCAGATGGTTTTATTCAAGACAATAAACCACTTCAGTCAAAACTGCTTCTTGGTAAAATATCTAATGATGGGAAAGGAAGCCTAGTAATTTTTATTAGGTCCAAACACCAAAAGTCTTCAGGTGGGGTGGGAGGAAGGAGCATTTTTTTCAAACTATCTTGCCAACTCAGGTGAGGTATTCTCAGAGCCTGATGTAATGGCTGGTGTCTACTTTCAGTTTTACTTGCATCAAATTCCTGCCTTCATTTGTTATAAAATCATGTATACACTGACATGTAGCAATGTCTGTAGGAAGGGATGATACAGAATATTTCAGTACGCAGTGACAGCAAGGCAAGACTCACTGGAATGTAAAAGAGGAACTCCTGTGGAGGAGGGTTGCCATTTCCCGAGCACTTCAGAGTGATGTTATCGCCTTCTTTAATGGTACTACTTTGTGGCAGCACTTGAATAGTCACCTTCTCTGTTGGATCTGTGAAAATAATGTACACGTTTAATAGCTTCTGCAAAAAAATTCCACAGTAACACTATGCATACAATATTCATGGCCAATGAGTACACAATTTTATCAAGTGGGTTGAACGTATTTGCATGTGTAGATCTTTTTACAAAAGAACTGGTTAATCAGACTTCTATATTTTTGCCAATAAAATAAGTAGAAAGCAGCCACACGACATAAAACTAATTTTTCTTCACCAAAATAACTGTAACTGAAACAGCAATAATTACAACTATGTGATGTCTTTAAAATAAAAAAAAACCTTCATCGGTACGAACAGTTTCACAGTGTGACTTTATTATAAGGGATTAACTTGTCCTCTCTGAAGTTCACTGTTTGGAGGACTGCAGCAATCAGAAAAACAACTGAAGCTCTCCACGCCTTGCATTAACACTAGATAATAGCCTTCTTACATTAAAAAGAAAGAAATATGAACTAAGCATCTGTGTTTGGCCTATTCTATATGCTGAACAGTACAGGCTTTCAGAAAGATGAATTTGGTGAACATAATAGGACCCTTAACATAGTCAACAGAACTGTAAATGTAACATACTTCTGTCATGTTCAGTGAAGTTGAACTATAACTTACATTTTACTTTGGTAATTTTTTATTAAGGCAGAAACAGAGTATACTTTAATAGATGCTATTCTTTCTAGGCAGAACCCTAAATATAATTTTTCAAAACCCAAGTAAAATGAACAAAATGAAAGGAAATAATACAGGCGGATAACTCTCACTGTTTTAATTTCAATGAATAAATAAAATTCCACCAAAGATGCCAGCCTCGCATTAAGACGCAGCACAGTGCACCTCGTTAAACACTAAAAAAGTCTGCACAGCAGAGAAACTCTTGCCTGACAGCTGATTTTGTGTGCTTAGTGAAGTGTGTGCTCTCCAGCCCTTCTGACCCTTAAGGCATTCAGCATGTCTGTCTTCTGCTATGGGATTTCTCAATAACAGGAGATATGTTCTGCTGTTCCCTCTTGATGACTGAGAGCTTTAACACAGCATCTCCCTCCTCCTCATAGGAGGAGGGGTACCAGGCCTTAGCAAGCCACATCTTCCCTCCTCAGAAGCAACGGCCTCGGCTCCCTTCCACATCCAAGCTGCTTCCATCTCAGTACGTTCAGTGCTGAAGCACGACTTTGCCTGCTTAGGAAAGAGAGTGCAGCATTGCTGCTGGTGTGGAAACCAACAGACGGGATGAAGTGGTTGGTCGGGAACTATATGCACACCTCTTGGTGTCTACTGGGCAAAAAAAACCCCAACAGTTTCAGGGGCCATCTGGTGAACTAGCCTGTTGCAGAAACTTGTCTGTCCTGTTAAGTTTATGTGCAGGTGACTAAATGTCAAAAAAATACCATAAAGGATGTCTGGATACACCCTGGAATTGCTTAGAATTTGTCTCAAGATTGATAAGAGATTAATTATAACAAGGAAGACTTTAATTAAGAAGCCGGAGATGAACAGAACTGGATTTAAAATGGATACATTTGAACCAGAGTGATATTTTTGCAAGCCACCAGTCTTTTCTGCAGGCACAACTGCTATCTACTGTAATCAACCAGAGGCAAATTTTTCATTTCATTCTCTAAACTGGAACAAAACCCAAAAATCTACAGAAGCAAATAGCAAAAGACTAAATAAATTGTTCTCTAAGGTGAAGAGGTCACCCTTCTGAAGAAGATGCAACCTGATGACAGGAAGACACGGTATTAAATGCAATGCTGAGTGCTTATTAGCATGAGTCATGTACTCTCCTGCTTTCACTAACAAAGAGGAGCAGCATGATAAAGGTCTGTCTTGCCCCTCAGTGGCACATACCCGTGGGCTTGGCCCATCTTACTTTATGCTTCTGTAAACCAGAGATTCTACTTCAGCCAAGAACAAAATTCTGGGAGATGGTACCAAAAGACAGTAATTTAATAAATGAATGCTGCCATCCCAGACCCACCATGGCCACAACTGCATAATTTCAAGGAAAACAACAATGCTGGAAGCAGCCTGCATATAAAGTGTCTTTGACTCTTATCCTCTATGTAAAGAGTTTATCCATAACCAGACAGACTTAACATGGCATGATTGGAAAGTCTGCCTGAAAAACATAATCTTTTTACATTGATTAATACTGAGCAGAAACATAACTGGAATCTTGATTATTTAGATATCTGAGATACTATTCAACTGTCCAGCTTCAGGAGTTCTCTTGCATTACTCATGTTACTTTTGGTAGCTCTCTTGCTACAGCCACACACCAGACCTGATAACTACTGCTAGCTGAACGAAGTTATCCAGTTCCAACTTGCACCCAACTCAGCAGGAGCTAATTCACTCTTCTCATACTAGGTTACAGTGGCTGGCTGCTTCCAGGATGTCAACTAGCTATTAAATACTCCAATACTAGAGGCTGCACTACCTCAGAGCTAAAGAAAAACAACAAACAGTAAAACATTTCTTAGAACCTGACTGAATAGGTACGTATTTAAAAAACCTTATGTATGTATAGTTTTAAGCACGCTGTCCTCCTTTATGATAAATGGGTAAGTTGCAAGGAATGAACAGCAAGTCTTCTTTATGATATTGTTTTTCTACTTGCTTCAGAAACACAAAACAATAGTTTTGACAGTCAAGCTAAAAAAAAAAAAAGGTTGAGAGAAGGACTTTCATTTCTTAGATTCAGAGTCTTTTTTTTTCATCTGCACTACATTTGACTCATTAAAAAATATCACTTTTGTTGAGAAAGAAACATAGGATCACTGAACTACTTTAAAAAACAAAACCAAATCGACATGTCATTATCACCAATTATAATGAGTCACAAAATTCATCTGTTGAAGCTCTGGACATCTCTATGAATAAAGAGTTTGACAAATTCATCTGAAGATGCATTTGAGCAGAGCAAGGAATTGAAGCTACAGCAAATGAAAATACTCAGAAGGAAACTGGGCAAATTTCATCCTGGAGGCCTCTTCAGTACTGAAGAGTGTGCCTGCCTCCCACTGTTGGCTAATTAACAACACAATGATATTGCCCATCTCTGGAGGAAAAACTATCTTAAATTGTGTGTTGCTATATAAGGATTAAAGAGCTAGTCTAGCTCTCAGTATTAAATCTTCAATACAGGGAGCACATGATATCTGGCACAGCGACTGTTCTGCAGTGCTGTGCAGCCTTCTTTAGCCTTCGCATTGAGTAGTCCTTAACTACAAGTACATGTACTACATGCATCACAGAAATCTGCAAGAGCCTCATCTTCAGCAGTTGAAGAAGCCTAAGGAACTAAAGTGGTGGGGAAATGAGGACAGCAATGCTTCTCTCAGCCAATAATAGCAACAAGTACTTTCTGGTCATTATATTCTTCCCTGTGAACATCTGCCATACATAGCAGGAGTTATGGAGTTAGTCTTCACAGATCACACAGAAAAAAAATAGTGAAATTTAGTACCCAACTTTAAAGCAAAACCAAACAACAAAAAAAAAAAAAGAAAGAAAAAGCTATAGCTTTCAAGTAATGGGATATGTGTCTGCAAGCTTGAAATCTGTTATTTCTGAAGATAATGGCTACTGTTCCAGTGGTTTTCTTCTCCATGTGTTCTGCCAGTTATCATTCTGGAGAAACAGCTGGTGAAAAGAAGGCCTTAATTTACTCTAGCTTCTCCAGGTGAAACCAAGGAGTAACTGCTCCAAGGTTTTTGATTTGGGATGACCAAGGTCAAAACTGATCCCTCACTCTGTGGCTCAGTAAATTTACCTGTCAAGGAGAAGCATCTAATCATACAGTTAGAACACATTCAGTGCCTTACTAATTTTCTTTGCATTCAGCTGGATTATAGAGTGGTTACACGATGTATACTAAGACCCTGGACTGTATAATTACACCCTATCATTTCTAAAACAGGGACTTTCCTTTTATAAGCTGAAGTATTACCTGAAGTGTGCAGAAAGGCAACGCTGACTGGACATACTACATATCACCTGTCCTCTACATTCTGCTGTGAGCTGCTGCCTTCTACAGTCCTTTGGGAGTGTCATTCCACAACACTTTGAAATGCCTCCTCCCACCTCTCTAACTGCTACCATGCCCTCTGACCTCCCCTTGCCAACTGCCTGTTTTGTTTACTCCATGGAGAATTATGATTTCTACATTGGCCAGTAAAACAGTGAGGAAGCTGCTTTAGGACTTAGGCCAGCTGGAAGTAATTATTTACACAAATTCTCTACTTAAAAGTCTACTGATATTCAAATGATACATTTCAAATGTAAAAATTAGCATCTTACAGCCATTGAGAAAGTATTGCATTTTGTGCAAGGTAGTCTGCCAGCATTAGGTGTGTGATGCTGACTCTGCAAAAACAAAACACACTTGAGTACACTAAGAACTGTTTTGTGTATTACTGCATATTTCAGAGGGCACAGACACTTCAATCAACCACTCTAACTCCTGTTTAAGCTCTGAAAAGCCCATTTCACTGTGACTTTTTGTGGTTGCCACTTTCCCCTTGTCAGCACAATCTTGATATTCAGTATTCTACTCTTTGAAAGAAAGAAATCACAGGTAAGTCTGATGATAAGCAAAAATTACACAACGTACTCAGACCTTCTTTCAGCAGATCAGCTTTGAAGAAACCACCCTGACAGCCAAGCATCAATGTCTATGTAATTTGTAAACTGTCTGATTTTGCTGTTTCCCCCAACTTAGACCATACAGCCATAGATGCTTTTCAATAACTTACAGTGAACATCAAAGACAACTGGTTCAGACTGTATTGTCTTCTGGCCAGATGGTCCATAATATGTCACAACGCAAGAAAACTTGGCATTTGCATCTTCCTTTGTTGGCATGTACTGAAGAGATGATGTCATGGTGAAGAGTCCAGTTGATTTGTTCACAGTCTTTTGCAAATTTATGACCACAACTGAAAAGGAAATACTGTTTCAGTGTCACACAGAGAGAATTTGAAACATTTTTCCTATATTTTGTTGTCCGTTCCGTATTTGTGATCATGCAGCAAACATGAAAGCAACGTGATAAATTACCCAAGAGACTGTACAAACAGTGCTCCTCTAGTATTGTCACTGATGCATACCAGGAATGTTTTATCAACAGCATACTCCTATCATACTCTATATTTAAAATCAAATTTAAATTTAAAATTTAAAAACAAAAACCTAATTAGAAACTTGTGGGGTTTTTAATACAAATCTCAGCTTAATTTGTAACAGAAAGACAGCCTCAAAAATGCTGGCACAACCAATTTTTAGGATAATACTTATAGCTTAATTTTGCAAGCATTCTCAATTTATACAAGGTAAATACTGTGGTTTGATCAGCCTGTCAAAATCAAAGCTGAAACAGAGGGGAAAAAATACTTTTCTTAAACATTCTGGAAAAATAAATATCTGTAGAAGGAGATGATATCCAAACCACAATATTGGACAGGTGTGAAATTGAGACACTTAATACCTTTTAAGAAGCTGGAAATTAGATACAGGTTTCTACTAGCTACATAGGCTCAAGAATAGCTTTGCAATAACATTAACAAAGGCAACTATCCTCCTCATGATGTGGCTTTAAAGCTGGAACTGAGAGAGATTATATGGCACAGCATGGCATAGGTGCTCTGAAAGGCCTGGAAGTTTCCTTCTAGTTCCGTCTTTCCATCTGAGTAGTGTTCTTCAAAGGAACAGTACATTAGACTGAAGTACAGCAACTCTTACACAGTTCTTCAGCCTGTCTGTGGACTCAGAGACATTGGCCATTATTGAAACGTACCTTCTTCCACAGGCTGCAAAACTCTCCCGTTTTTGTACCACGTGACATTGCCTTCAGGATAACTCTCTCTTGAAACACACTCTCCAAGCTGCAAAACAGAGAGGGATTAGTCACTATTTTTATAATTATATTAAAATATAGTGGATATTTTTAATTATACTGCTTTGAGTAAACATTTCTAGAAAAGTAAAAAAGCATAATCCCACTCATTTTTCGTTAATAGGACAAATCCCATCAGTGAGGCTTAGGTACACTTTGGAAGAGGGGTTGGTGGTGGATCTCATCTCAGGGTGGCCCCTGTTTGCAGAATCAGGCAGGGCTAATCCAGCAGTGGTGAGGTAACAGCTCTGTGCTCAGCCTGGCTATAGACCATGATCTCTCCCAGGCAGGTGCAGGCAGGCACCCCCCCTCTCTGAGCCTCAGTCCATCAGCGCTCTCTGCCTTGACTGTAAAAGGGACTTTGGGCAGCTGTCAGGCACATAACCTGGAGGGAGAATTCTGCTCTTACCATTTGTAGCTTCTCTGTTTCTAAGAAGTCTGCTTGATGTAAGATTTCTGGTTGAGAGGGTTGTTCTAAAACATAAATAGGATAAAAGTGCTAGTGAAGGGAGCACAAACAGCTGTTTGAAAACCAGAGTTACTAAAAGATACATGGACATTGAGACTAAATAGAACAATCTGGCATGCTATATTCTTACCTATGCTTTGTCATAGAAGAAAAAGTGAGATATTTCTACCTCAATATTAGAAAATGGATTGAAAAGGAAAACCCATCATCTTAAAATGTGTCATACCTTCCATAATGAATACCATGCATTCTGACAAGATACGTTTTACCCAGAGAAAACCTGATCTCATCTATCTGATTTATATGACACACATGCCAGAGAAGGAACCAGTAGGACAGAAACTACAGCAACAGGAAAGCAGCTTTACTGTGGATATTACTGTAGCTGAGCTGTCACATTATAAAGGAACAAATTCAATGTAATCATTCTTCTAATGTTTATTTTTCCTAACTGGGATTGTTACATTTAAGAAATTCAAGTGATAGAGATAAGTGTAATTACTTTAACTGATGCTGAGATAGTTATGACTTTCTTAAAAAAAATAAACTTTTTCTTCAGTGCCAGTATGTCGTCTTATTTACACTTATTATGGTATATGGACCTCTTAGCTTGCCAAAGTGGAGGATCTATCAGCGTTTCCATCATAAAAGACTACTTTCTAGAAACTATATAACTTGCCTGTTAAAATAGTTTGGCTGGAAGCCCGGAATGCAAATTTTTATCTCCAAAAGAGTCAGTTTTCCCCACAATTTTAAAGGAAGAGGGGAAGGGGGGTGGGCAGGGGGGAATAAATCAAAGAAAACCTTTACACACTAGCTATACTGCTTAAATAAGCATACATATTATATACTTTTACAGACTGAAACATCCTTAACCATGCCAGCTTACAGAACCCTCTTCCCAAATCAAGCTCCATATGAAATAATGTATATAATCTCAGCCTGAAGTAAACTTCATGCTCCTTTGCCAAAATCTATGCACACTGAAGTTGCTAATGTGCAGGTAAGCCTACATGTTTCCACAGTAATCCATTTGCTCTGTGTGTGTGTGCACGTACATGTGCATTTCTTTGCACATAAATGCACAGATATTCTTTGCCAGGATGGAATAAGAACAGCTCAAAAGGGAAATGAAAGGCAATAACAGAAGCTATTCATTTGACATTTTCTAACAATTTCAAGGTGAATATCAGGAAAAATTTTTTCACTGTGAGGGTGACGGAGCACTGGAACAGGCTGCCCAGAGAGGTTGTGGAGTCTCCTTCACTGGAGTCATTCAAAACCCGCCTGGACGCCTTCCTGTGTGATGTACTCTAGGTGACCCTGCTCTGGCAGGGGGGTTGGACTAGATGATCTTTCGAGGTCCCTTCCAATCCCTATGATTCTATGAACAATGTTGCTTGTGGCAAAAAGAATCCCAAACAAACCAGCTATACACCAAAACCATCACGATTGCTTCAAAGGGCTAGCAGAAAAATATTTAAAAAAAAAAAAAAGTGCATGTTTATCTCGCTTTTTCTAGTTTTAAAGAAAAAAGGTTAACCTATTTTCTGTGAGAACCTATCAAGGATGAAACATTTTCACATTACTTCAAGCAAATTAGGTTTTACAAGATCTGGTTCAGATTCTAAGGTCTCACAAACAAGCATAGGTAGCTTCCTGTCACACTCCCCAGCTGATCAAACCACAACGCTGTCTCCCTCACCTTCACTTCCCTGCCAGGACTGGTTTGAGAAGACCTATTCTATGCTTTGGACCACCCTCAGAATGCTCCTACCGAGGGACATGGAGGATCTGCTGGCCCCGGGGCGGCTCTCCCTATTGTGAGTGCTCTGGTGACTAAGCAGATGCTGCAGTTCAGAGGCCCCCACCTGCTCTCGCGGAGCAGCCTCCGAAAGGCAACACCTGCTGCCAAATCCCCACAGCCGCAGCACGTGCACCAAGGTAATTCACTAGAAAAGAAACTTATTTGGCATTTACTGGCTCAGCAGCTGAAGCGAGAAGAAATTTTAACCTTGGCAGCAGCAGAGCCCACTTTGTTGGGTTTGCAACTTCAGCACACTGCTTATCTCTCAGCTTAAGAGCTTGCCAGAGCACTCTGCAATTCTATATAGGTTCTATAATAAAAGGAAAAAGAGCTCACTGCCTGCAAAAGTCAAACATCAGTGTAGCAGGACAGCAGCTAATGTCCACTGGGCTGCTCTGGAAACCTCGGACATCTCATTCCAGAAAAAAAGATGCTGACAGGATCCATCTGGAAAGCTGGTAAAGCTTGTCTGAGCAGCCCAGTGTGTGAGACTAGCAGGTGGTACCTGTGCAAGGAGCCCTTTCAGCTCATTAGTTCGGAGTTAATCAGGTAACACAGCTGAAGACATGACAAGCTCCAGTAAAACTTCAGTCACGACTTCTGGGATAAGCTGAGTTTCAGGTGCACAAGGTCTTTGGTTATGAGTTTGCACAGCTGCAGCTTAGCTCTGTATCTGTGGTTCACGGAGTCAGAAACTCTGCTGGTTAGATAAATAAAGCTTGCAAGCTACCCTTAACACTTTTATAATTAGACCAAACAAGCAAGCCACCAAACTACAATCAAAAATGAAACCCTAAAAATAACAGACTCAAGGAAATTAGATGCAAGGAAATTTAAAGAGAACCCTAAAGTTGGGAACTCAAAATGGAAAACTGCAAAGGTAATTTTTTCTTGCAGTGCTAAGTCAGCCACATTACCTGCGTGGCATCCTCTATTCTTATCTTCCTTTGTAAACAGAAGTTTTCTTCATTAGTATTAATACATACAATAAAACACACAGGCTGTGCTCCATGGCTGAGTTAGCATTGTGTTAATATTTAGTACAGTAGACAGTAATTCAAGTAGTTAGCATTTTGTTTCACCATATACCACTGTCTTATCTTCATATTTACTGCTGTGCAATAAGTAAACATGATAATTCTTTATCATTTCCTTTGAAGCACTGAGTTTACTATGCGTGCTCTGAGCACACTCCTCCCCATTGTCATTAATTTGATTGCTTTTACAGTCAAATTGAAAGTGAAAGCAGGGAAAGGAAATACTGTTGACTCCTAATCTATCTTCAAACTCATTTATGGTAGTGATAAATTTTTGCTTGGACACTACTGATGACTTCCTGACAACTTCTCCCTGAGAGAAGAGTAAGGGTGCCCTTCCAAAACATGAGTTCATGATTTTCAAGCAGAAGTATCATTTGTTTGAAACTGCTGATCCCTGCAAGCAGCACATTTCCACAACAGAGACTTATATTGTGAATCTGCATCTGAAGAGCAACAGAGGCCAAAACAAGCCACATAAAAACAGGCAGCTGAGGAAGATACCCACTGCAGTCACAGGGCAGTATTTACAAACACTGGCCCAAGCAGATCTGTGCCCCTAAAAAGGAGTAACACCTCCCCAAGTTGAGTCAGGGTTTGAGGGGCTACATGTTTGCTCTGAATTATCATGAGGAGGCCAGGCTTGTCCATGCTCTTGTGCAAGCTCCGAGCAGGACTACACCTCAGAGCATTAGGGTTCACACTGTGGATCAGCCCTGCGATCAGTTTGTAGCAATATCAAACACTAACAAACTTGGTTGTGCTCTAAACCAGAACTGCAGACTGCTCTTCCTGCTGCTAGTGCAGCAAGGGACAAAATAAGCATTTGGGGTTACCAACTCATTTCCCAGGCTCTCACTTGCTCACTCATAGTGCACACTGTTGCATACTAGCTGCTCGGAGTTGGTTTAAACCTCTCCACTGATCTAATCCTGCAGACTGCACAAAGTTAATGCTTCTCTCCTGCAGAAAAATTCATTTGGAGAACAAATGGAAAATAATCAGTGCTAATTTTACATTTTTCATTTCCAACTAAATGACATCACATAAGTGAGTCATTATCAAAGCCTAAAATTCTCTTTGAGCCAGCACTTATCATGAATAAACTGCAAGTGCAGGCAGTCTTGTTACATAAATGCCACCAGTAGATTACATTTTTGAAAGCTGTAGAAATTTGCTAGTCTTAGTAATTTACTCAGCCAAATTTACTTTCTTGGCTTTAATCTTTCCCTTAAACAAAAGTTTCCATAATTTACAATTCAGATGCTGATGAATGTTAACAGTAGTAACAACAAGATTTACTTACTGAAGACTTTGACTATCGTTGGCTCTTCGGAAACATCATCTTCTGTAACTAGCATACATACAAATCTCTTTTCATCACTGATTCTTGCATTCTTGATGGATAACGTATAGTTTTCTGAGAGACTCAACCTGTCTTTGTAGTCTGGTACATCATCATACTGTACATTTTTTTTTGTTGATGATCTGAAGGCAATAAATACTGGAGATTCGTTTGGCATTTCCTATAATAGAAGGATAAACACCTCTGTTTTGCATAAACACTCACTTAGAAGTTCCTGAAGATCTGCAATTGGTACAAATACATAAGTTTAAAAAATCTGAAAACTACATCAGATGGCTTTTTCCCTGATTAATTTCTGCTGTAAAAGCAGGAAATTCAGTGTAATATGAGAGCTAGTTTAGGACTGCCATGGTACAAATTGAGAACATCATCAGGAGAAATAATTTCAATGCTTTGGCTCAACCTCGGCATAGCATAGGGCTTGCTCTGATGAAGGCTGGTGGTTCTGGCACCACCTGCCTCTGTGTGTATGAAAAGTATCTGAAATAGAAACATTTGTGAGCTAGGCTTTTTTTTTTTTCTCGTGATTGTTTTACATATTCATATTGTTTGTCTGGGATATTCAGAATTCATTCCAAATGCAGGATTTAATCAGGGATAACTACCTATTTTATTCTAAATCAGTTTTTAGGTTTTTTTGCCCTTTGCTTTTAAAGGACCCAAGAGCCTGTGGCATGGGAATATACATACAGTCAAACATTGTTATTTATGCCTCTCAGGATAATGCGCAAAATAATCATTTTCTATACATCCTCTTTATATTTAAAAAAAAATGCATTTGTCTCCCTAAATAGTAATACAAAGTTGACAGCCTTGCACAAATCCACCATATCAACAATTAGTTTTTATGAGAGACAAAGTTACAGGCTCAGTTCTGCAGATTTCATTCCTCTGCCCCCAAGAGCAGGGACTGGTACTGTCTGCCTTGAAATAAAGAGAGGTGAAGGGTTGACTTCATTTCTACATTCAGTATTGTGCTGGGGGCTGGAAGAGGTTTTAGTTCCCTTTTATCCCTTGCACCTTGCAGCACTGATGCGAGTAGCGTTCCCAGCACAATACCTCAGCTTGACTGCAGAGCCCACAAAAGCATGATGCTGCTGTGACAAGAGATGAGTGGTGTCAGAGCCAGGCAGGGAGCAGAAGGCAACAGCTAATGTGACGTTTAAATTCCCTTACAGTCTTTTCATCCCACTTTTAACTCTCGGATTACTCTAGTTATCTGTCACACAGGAAAGAAAGCTTTGCCTTGACACGATGTAAAGTTGGCTGTCAGGTGCAGAAGAACTCTCAACTCTGCAAGCCCACACAGCGCATGAGCACGTGCAGGTAGATGCTGAAGGGAGCAACACCTGCTCCTGCCATGGTGCAAATCTCCCAGTGCCCCTGGGCTTCCATCCGCAACCCCAATTGCTACTCCCAAGGCAGCAGAGCAAAAAATGGAGCTCACGCTTCTTCCAGTGAAATAATGGAACCTGACCTAAAAACCTAAACCAAACTCTCCCCCTGCTAAAAAAACAAGTGTTTCCATGCTGGTAGCTGCCCTGGGAGAACGGGTATCACCTTCCACTTGATTTTGTGGGCTGTGTAAACAGTTGGACAGGTTTTTCTGCACATTAGGTTTTGTGTCCCTTTCAATTTAGGAGAAGCTGTAACTTCTCCATTGGCTGCATGGTACTTGCTCAAGATGAGCAATCAAAATATATCAGAAAAAAATGCACTTCTTTTTCTCAAAATAGCCCTACATCTTCACGCAGATGGACTTCTTCCCAAGAAAAGTCAGCAGACTAAAAAGCACACTGCAAAATGTAGGTCCTGTGTCTTCCAAAAACGTTTATATGAAACAGTTTCACTGTTTCCCTTTTAGGGAAATGCCTTCCACAGACTTCTGACTCCATTTCCAAAAACATGTTTGTGGAGCAGGAACTCTTGAGCGGATGAGAGCTGCAAAAGCTGCAAACTTCCAGGTCCAAGGGAAACAGCCGGGGGGGGATTATGAAACACGCCTGGTGGCAGGCCAGTCTGCTGTAAAATATGCAGGTGGGTGCCATTTAAAAGAAGAAAAAACTATGTAATTTAAAATCCATTGTCAGAGTAAACATCACCTGTTATTGCTGGTAACTTTGTGGTTTTAGCATGAGAGGAGATTTATATTAACTTTACAGTAGCAGGAAAAGGAGCTGTCCTGATGTCAGTCTGAGAAGCAAATGGGTTTTAGTATCCTGGTGGTTTCTTCAATGTTTGCTTCCAGGTTTCATTTGATTTTGACAAGCTTATTCTCCTCTTGGCCCTGGATACCAATCACATATAGGGGAAGCACATCCTGCAGTGCTACTACTGCAGGCTGACTGTGACAACTTGGAGAGCATTGACAGTTCTGCCTCTGTTCTACACATGCCAGAAATGGCAGCGTGAAACCATCAGCAACTTCAAGGTCAGTACTGTTTTCTTCTTTGCTATGCATTAAACACACTGAAACATGAAACAGTACTGAGTGACAGATCAACCAGACCCAGGAATGGCACTTTCCCCAGGATGAAGCATGCCCTGCTTCAGGCAGCCCACTTCAAAAGTATTGAAATGTACAATGATGGCTTTGACAAGTGAGCAAGACACCACTTGGTAACATGCCAGATCTCTAATGCAGGTTGGGAGAGAACTCCCCAATATTTCTCTTGAACAATGAGATTAATTCCTCAAACCTCTAATCTAAGCTTGGCAGAAATTATTCAGATGGGAGTCTTGCAGTCTTATAAACACAGTAACGAATGTCTTCGTATCCAAGGCAGAAATCCTATCAATTGGATTCTTGTAATCTCACACACAAAAAATACACATCTCTAATGGATGTAAAGGTAAGCTCTACTTACATATTTCCATTTTCCAAACATAAGACCATCTGGTACTTCTAGACGACAAGGCATAGTAATGGTATCTCCATATACTGCATTTACGGTGTACAATCCCAGAGCTAGAGGAGAAGCAGAAAGAGAGGAAACAATTTTAAGCATTTATTTCATTCCCATATGCTGGCTAATATTTGGTTCAGAGGTATCAGAAAATCAGAGCCACATCCTTTGTAAATGGCTATTTTCCAGCATGCAGTATTTATCCCCAAACCTCTGACAAAACAGGATTCCTGTCACTAGATTTGTTTACTTAAACATTATGACCTTTTTGGACACATGTTTTCTGCTGCAGTCAGTGGGAGCCATCTGGTTTTTCAGACAGGACTGCACCCACTCCACTGCAGGAACACAAACTACAATCAATATGCACAGCTATTGTCTCAAACTTAAAACTTGCAAAGGAAAATCCCTAAACCTTTCTTTTCTGATCTGAAAAATGAGCCACTTCTACCTGCAGAGGTTATGTTGCAATGCAGTATTGTGAGCAAACCAGCAGACAAGCAATATTCTGATTGCTGCACTACATAAAAACTTAGAAAAGAAAGAGAGTATGATTTAAGTCTTGGGTTCCCTTAAACCTGGGAAACGAACTAGTTTGCACATTTAGATTTTGGAAAAATGAAGTGAAATGCTTCTATGAATTATTTAAAAATATTTTTTTTGAAACCTCAGCACAACGTTGCTGTGCTAATGCATACAGATTTACAAAATAAAACTGACTCCCTTATTTTCATCATCCAGAACACATGAATTGAACAAAAACAACAGACCCTAAAGTGAGGAGATGTTCAAACGCAAGGAAGTTTAAGGGGAAAGATGTTACAACTCGGTTCATTTGCTAGAACGGAACCTGGCTTTGCCCCTGTTTTCTGCAGTCCCCCCTGCTCTGGTGCTGCTCGTGGCTCCTGACGCTGGAGGGAGGTTTTGCCTCTGGTGCTTGCCCGGTGTGACGGAGCAGGCACACTGGCTGCCTGCTCTCACCCACACATCTATGGCTTTTATCAGGGACTTCTGCCCAAAGAATCAGGATCTCTCCCTTCGCTCTCCTTTCATTTGCAACTGGAGCTACAAAATCAAAAGCCTGCTGCTAAAGAAGCCATCTTTAAGATAGAGTCGTCGGCTGCTGGTGGCCAGAACTGCAGAAACACCCAGGCTTTAGAGACATTTATTTTTCAAAGATTCAGCCCTTTTTGGTAAAACTGAAAAAAGCAAACCTGTTCCTATGCACCCCCAAAAGACTGAAGCCACAGACCCCTTATCTTTTCCTGAGTCTTGAGGCAGCCACTGGGATGACCTGACAATTCTCTTGCTTTTTGCATGTGTGCAGTCTATAGGAAGGTGTTCCCAAGGGATTTTTTTTTTTTTCTTTAAGCAAAATCATGTATTATCAAAGAGCCAAACAGCTAATTCCTTGCCTATGATTTAAATGAGAATGACTCCAGAGCATTGTCCTCAAGTGAGGACTTCAGAGCTCACTGGTAGCATCAGCTCTTATTTATAATTTATATCACAGTGGCAATGAGGCTGTGATTTGTGTTGTGTGGTAGTGCACAAAGAAACAGTATTCCCAAACCCTGCCTTAGAGAAGCTTACAACCCAGACAGCGTTGGATGGTAAGGCAGAGAAGCGGGCAAGAAGGCTGGAGCTCAACGGACTAAAGGAACGCAGGAGGTAACAGGCTCCACTACATGCATGGATCTTAAACCTGCTTTCCTTCACACAGTTCCTTTTCAACTGAACAACTGCTAATCACCTGATTCCATTATATAATCAGTCACAAACGTACTTTAGGTACCTCATTCACACTACAAGACCTGCATGCCCTAATTTGCTGTATGGTTTATGGAGACCAGCTGTTTTCTAAATGACAGTAAGAGTCAGCCCACTAGATGGTGCTGAGCAAGTGCAAGCTCTACAAATGAAACAAAAAATTTCTTGAAGAAATCTGTTAACTTCAATTTCATGGAAATATGACCATTGTTTTATGAAATCAAGCCATAAATGGAAATATAATTCAAAGCTGGAACACACTTCCAGCCCTCTGTTGCACTCATCCTCATTCTGATCTCCAGGAGGAAGACAACGTGACTTCCACTTTGTGAGCTGAATCCCAGTTTCTATTTCTGCTAGAATTAGCAAAAATGGCTCTTTCTGGTTCCTCTTTCAATTGCAAGAGACTTGCAAACACGTATTCACTTAGTAAGCTGGTTAGTACCCATTCAAATTCCTGTAAAGTGTCATTTGGTAGTTTGAAATTCTGTAACGGTACTTTGCATCACATGGAAAACCAGAAACTGTTCGTCCTGCTAGGAGATATTTCTTGTAATTAGGGGAAAACAAAATGACCCTGTGGAACCGGTAATGTTGTTCCCTCCCAGGCACCCATTTAACCCCTGCAAGTTGCTAAGGTAACAAGTATATGCTACCAAAGACTTGACAAAGAGCCTCACCAGTGTGAATGAAACTGTTTCTGGAAAGGAATTACATTTATAGCATTCAGAGCAGGTAACTGATGAATAGCCTAATAAAGAGAAAGACTGGCCTCTGATTTTAGATGAACTCTTTCATCTGAAAGGTATTCATTAAGATGGACAGCCCTCTCCCTCTCTCCATATCATATCTTGCCATGAATTTTACCTAAACTAAAATCTTATAGTTTTCTAGTAATTTATTAACAGAGAACCAAAACCACATATTTTTTTTCTTTAAATACAGATTAATGATCCCTACAAGTATACAAAAGGGCCTGCTGCAAAATTTTATTCGCCCACTTCTGTAGCAACAAATCTAGGACACTGAAGGAGTGCAAACTAGTTGAATAACTGCAAACTTACACTGCAGGATCTGCAATAAATGCCACAAAACAACTTTGCAAACCTCTACATTTAAGAAGCAAAAAAAAAAAAAAAAATCAACAAATTTGGAAATTCCTCTCTCTGTTGCTATTAGATGTATTTGTAAAATGGTGGGATGAAGAATAAAACAAGAAAATGACTGCTTAACTACAAGACAGCATTTACCATCAGTGATCACTGAGAGCCCTTTATATAGTTTTCGTCTCATTCTAAGAAAAATGAAACACAAGCAGGATCTACAAATACGTAACAAATTGTTCCATGACCTAACACAACCCACGGTCAATGCCAAGGCCCTCCTATTTCATTAAATGTGTGAGGGCACAAAGGCAACTGCAGGGAATAACACTACAAAAAGTCACCAGACATCACGCCCAGCCTTGCTGTGTATCTGATGCACATTTCTGTATCTAGTTAAGAGCTTAGCCAGCTCCCCTGCATGATATTCAGATGTTGCCTCCTAACACTGAGACAGTGCTGTTAATAACACTAATTCAGAGGCAGGATCTTATCCCATGTATGCCGTGAGAAGGTTATGAATGACTGGCTATGAATTACAGCTATATACCAGACTAATCCAACTCGCTTTCCTTCCATGTCTTCACATAGAGGTTTGAGCAGGCTGAGGTTTAACTCATTTCCCCCTCTCTGATCCAGTGCTGAAGAAACTCTGAGCCAGATTAAACCTTTCCACGTAGGTTCAGATAAGGGAAGAAAGCAGCAGCATCAGGAGGTATGACAACTCAGAGAAAGATCCCAGCAGGACACTGCTAAATTGAGATGGCATTTGCTCTTGATGCTTTTAATTACAGTACTTTCCACTCCCTATGGCAGCACTAACTGGCATCTTTCTTTGTCCCCATCTCTGCCCGTGTTTCACAAGGGAAGAACTAAATAGTACCCACACATTTGGGTGACAAAATAAGAAATCTGACTACTTAATCAAAGGCTTAAAGGTAAAAGAGGTGCTGCTGTTATTTTAGATCCTCATCAAGAGTACATGATGCAGGCCATAATTTAGAGTAATATTTTTAAATCAACAGGATCATATAAGAGGAATGGATAGAAGGGGAACATCTAAAAATCAGGAAGCTGGTATTTCTCCAAGGAAATTACAAAAGCTGTAGGAAGCATGTGGAAAGCAGCTGTGCTTTCCACCCCTACCTTCCAGTTGACATGCTGAATGTTTCTCTTGCCACAAACACCTTTTTTTAAATCTTTAAGAGTAACATTTTTGTAACAAATGCAAAACAGAGCAGAGGTTGTTCAAAGACCCTTTAGTTCAAGATCCACGGAAGGCTATGAACCTGTATCTGAAAACTAAGACAAGCAGAGGTACTGCCTGAATCTCATCTTCACTGTCCTGCTTGGCTGCCTCACAGCACAGCTCACATCCAGTTGCTAAAGCAATGGATAACTGGGCAGCTGAACCTCCCTCAGTATCCTGTGGTCCACTGATTTAAATGATGCTCTAAATCCACAAAGATGTCCTGTATTTTTCTTCTATACCTTATCTTTACTGCTGATGCTTCTGCCTTGGCAGGCTTAGCAATGATGCTTTCTATTACATTTTCTGGTCTGGAACTGAGAAGTAAGGTCTCATTACCAGAGAACAGCAGGATACATTGGCTGCTATGGGTCTTTGCACCAGCAGTGAGCAGGAGAGGTCAATTAGCAGCTTCTGGTATGGAAGTGTCCAAACTCATGAGCTATTATGTCTATTTAGCACATACTTTGGAAACTGTAGTTAACTACTTAGAGTTAGAAACTCTAAGTGGGATTAGCACTCCCAATATTCACTTGAGATTTTGGCCCTCCCACCTTAATTCCAGGTAGCCCAGGTTATTTTGTACTTAATACAATGTAGGAGGTTAAAAAGCTTTGCCTTATGAAATAAATATTTTATTAAGTTGCTTTCTATCAGCTCTGAAGTAGCAACAAGTGGATTTTTCTCTTTGCCTTCCATTCCCTAAAGGGATTCCAGGTATATAGGCATACACATAGGTCCTCCTGAGCATCCACTTAGATACTAACCTAAATGATTTCCTTTAGGAAACACCAGTATTTAAAAAAACTAATGATTACATCTTCTTAAGGTCAGGAAGTCACCTTTTAGAATGACAAAATCATTTCGGTAGGAAAAGACCTTTAAGATCACTGAGTAAGCCATAAGCCTAACACTGCCAGCTCCACCATGAAACACCACAT